AAAAATATTGTTGTAGTCCCTACCAGCCATTTTTGTAGGCATTAAACTGCCAGAATTTTAAAAGACGATTTCTCTGTTTGCATTGAACTTTCAGCTTCGTAACTTTGCAGATATTTTTTATGCTCAAACAGCAACATTACACACTAACTAACGTTAAAAAAGTGAAATCGCAATGAACCACCCCTTTAATATTTTCTAGGTGGGTGTCCTTGCCATTTAGCTTTTATTAGAGGATTTGAAATACCATGCAATGTGTACTAGCTAACCTGTTGATATAATTATACCTCTAGGTCTGAGCTCATCCTCCTCAGATTCGGAGCCTTCCTCATCCGCCACTGCGATAGGCACTGCTTTTAACGGGTGACATGCTGTCTGGGGAAGAGGATCCTTTGGGGATGAAAAAACAAGAGAATTATGTTTCTTGTATTATACATGTGCTTTATAAATTATTGTGTCTAAATGACATCTTAAGATTGATATTAATAATGCAGGAGACACAGCAAACCTCAACCAGGAAGAACCATCTTAATCTTGTTTACACAATCCTAACAAGCTAAAAGTGCACATTTCTGTGAGATGTTTCAAATAGTCTGATGACTTTGCCTGTTCATGTGGTTTGCAGCGGTGAGCTAATGATACAGGAGTAACAGGCTTTGGTTCCAGAAACACCTCCCTCTCACAGACATAACACCACACCCTGAATGTGGTCAAGTTTACTGTCAGATTGTGTTTTTTGGCCTGAAAAAAAGAAGAATAAAAGATGCACACGTCCAAAAGAACAAGAGAAATGATATGGATAATAACTGAACAGAACGAATGCCAGAGAATGGAGTGAATAATTGAATGAATAAGAATGTCACCTGTGCATGTATAGTACTGTGATCAGAATGTGATTCTCCGCAGCCTACATAAGGACAGTCACACTGTGGGGAAAGCAGGACAAAGAGAGTAATAATTATGATGATATTTTCAGGGCCTACAAATGCATTCTACTTATCTAACATGTTTGCTAGGGAAAAGGCTCCTCACCTGTAGACATGCCCAGAGGTTGGGTCCACCTACTCCACATGACTGGCATGTGCCCTTGAGTAAAAACAATGAGATAAAATTCACTGTGCACCACTCATAACACATTTAAGACTGCAAAAGCAATTCTAACCTTTGATTTCTGAATCAGTTTCTCCTTAGTAACTTCACCAATAGAGTCCAAGTGAGGACAAAGTTAAGACTTAAATATTAGCAAAAGCAATTCTAACCTTTGATTTCTGAATCAGTTCCTCCTTAGTAACTTCACCAATAGAGTCCAAGTGAGGACAAAGATCCCCGCTGTCAGTCATCTTGATTTTCACCTCACTCTATTACAATGCACAAAGAACACTTTGAGAACTACTGGTACAGCATCAACACAATAAACATTGAAAAAATTGAAATGAAATCATCTACTCAGCCTCATGTTGTTTTAAAAATCTAATAACTTTCTTTTTTTTTTTTCTGTGGTGAACAAAAATAAATATTACCATTCACTTTAACTCTATGCAAAAAAGATTCTGTGCAACATCTCCATTTGTGTTCCACAGAAGAAGAAAAAAGAAAGTCACACGGGTTTGGAAAAACATCAGGTTGAGTAAATGATGACAGATTTTTTTTGAAAAATGTCCCTTCAAGTATAACCTTCTAATATACTTACAGTCTCAGTATCAGCGTAATGGAGAACATTTGACATTAATGAATGCATTATTTTAAAAAATAACGAAAGAAGAAGTGTGGTATCTAGCAGCGAGTAGCTGTGAGTCTGTGCCTGAAACTCTCAGGAGCCCAAAACTGCTGTTTCATGCGCCTAGCACGACTGAGAAGGATGCATCCACCCCGTCTCACCTCGTCTATTGTTACAGTGAGGAAATGCGCAGTAATGCATCATAAAGATGTATTAATCCTTGAATCTATTTTTCCATAAGTAAAGAAGCTTAAAAAGAATTCCGAACAGAAAGGGAAAAACAACAACAACAATAATAATAATAATAATAATAATATGAATCGGCCCCACTATTCATCTGAATTTAAAGAATATCTCAAAACAAACGGCATCTTTCTGCGTCTACAGTTGCTCTACGTGTCATCGTCAGCCACCTAAAAGCTGTTTAACATCACAATCTTACAGAATAAACAGGCCATATTTCCACTCGGGCTGCAAGACACTATTCATGCGCTGACTCGACATGATAGTATCTAAGCAAATAAACAGTGACACTCCGCTTCAGCCGAAGGAAAGATAAGAACAAACATTTACCTGTCAGACAGAAACAAAAATAACGCTCATAGATGATCATTTTAGGCCAATCGGTGGTATTTGTAACAGTGGTGGGTAGCAGTGCACTAAACAACATCCATACTGAATACAGCATGAGTGTGCGTCAGCGTCACAGCTTTGACATAGCCAATGAACGCTTTCAGTTCTTTCATCTGATCAAAAACTATTTTTAATTTACTTAAACTTATACATTTTACATGCTGCTTGATTTAGGAGTTGATGTTTTTAATTGTTTTGTTATTATTTTTACTTCGTTTTTTTTTCTTATTTGTCATATGAGTAGCTGATCTTGAACCAGCCTCTTCATCCCCATTTACGCCGTTAAACGCTTGTATGGAAAACAGAAGAGCTGACCTCAGATCAGCTGTTAATACCTTAATTGTGACGTCAGCGGAAGTTTCGGGAAATGTGAGGAAAGCGGTCCGTCGATAAACACAGACCGCCGACGTTGCGTACAGACGTGTGAAGGTGTAAAATAAACATTAAATAATTCAACGCTTTTTGAAATCATGCCCCCAGGTAAGAATTTTAGGAGGAGGAAGGAATCATCCGACGAGGAAGATGATGAGACAAAAGCCGTGGTCAGGTAGATATGTTTTAACATTAATGCCAAATAGAGTAACCGAACATGTCCGTATATAGAAAAGTATTTATGTAACATTACGTTAAGTGTCACACCCAGACGCCTGTTTATATGTGAGAATATATTTAAAAATGTTAAATTCAAACATATTTTCTAAGGTCCAAACTGGGTGAAGCCAAGGAGCTTCAAAGTTTACGAAAAAGGCAGCATGGAGTAAGGTTGGTCACGTGTCTATTTAGAATGCTTTTCCTTTTTATACGAATATAACAGTCTTAAACGTTTTGTACATGTCTTATTTTTACGGTGTGTAATTTCCAAGTTTTAATTAATTTATATAATTAACCATTTTAATTAATGTATACATTCTGCTCCTCCAGCATTGCTACGTTACTTGTAGGAGATAAGCTTCCTTTGGAGGCTGAGCTCGAGGTATGTTTTTTTTTAAGCAAACTACATTTTGTATTACAGTGAAGGTCTTGCAGTGTTACAGTAAATGTATGATTTAAGTGGTTAAATATTGTCACTCCGTGTTTTGTGCATTAGGATGACCCATTTAAACTGAAGACTGGAGGTGTTGTTGACATGAAGAAAGTGAAAGACAGAAATCGAGACATGTAAGTGATATGGAGCCTTGTTTGCTGTTTCTTTAAAGTTGATGTCTCTGTATTTTAAAAGTGAAATAATTAACATTTCCTCTCCACTATAGGACAGCAGATGAAAACGACCTGAATCTTGGTACCTCCTTTTCTGCTGAGACTAACAGACGAGATGAAGATGCAGACATGTAAGTGCATATGTGTCCGCGCAAACCATCTGTATTCTTCATCGTTCTACATGATGCTTGTTTTTAGTCAATTTTGCCTGCATTTAAATGTTTATATCCTCTCTCTCCTTGTATGTTTTTTTCATTCAGGATGAAGTACATTGAGACCGAATTAAAGAAAAAGAAAGGCATGGTGGAGGCAGAAGAGCAGAAAGTGAAGGTGAAGAATCCAGAGGACCTCCTGTATGAGCTTCCAGAGAACATCCGTGTCAGTTCTGCCAAAAAGACAGAAGAGATGTTGTCCAATCAGATGCTGAGTGGAATTCCAGAGGTGGATCTGGGGATAGAGTAAGTAAAGACCAAAACTAATTCAAAGACATTTCCTTTGCTCACATCTGAGATATATCTTTATATTCCACCTAGCTATGGATGTCAGCTTCAAAACCCTTTTTCCCTTTCTTATCAGTGCAAAAATAAAGAACATCATCAGTACAGAAGAAGCCAAAGCAAAGCTGCTTGCTGAGCAGAGGAATAAAAAGATGGACAGCGGGACCTCCTTTGTTCCCACTAACATTGCTGTGAATTACATCCAGAAAACGCATAATCGCTGTAAGTGCACAAGTATATCTAAGTACCAGCACTTTGTACACATCTGAGATATATCTTTATATTCCACCTAGCTATGGATGTCAGCTTCAAAACCCTTTTTCCCTTTCTTATCAGTGCAAAAATAAAGAACATCATCAGTACAGAAGAAGCCAAAGCAAAGCTGCTTGCTGAGCAGAGGAATAAAAAGATGGACAGCGGGACCTCCTTTGTTCCCACTAACATTGCTGTGAATTACGTCCAGAAAACGCATAATCGCTGTAAGTGCACAAGTATATCTGAACTACCAGCACTTTGTATTTTAAGGTCATGTGCTTAGTGCTCATGAATCAAGAAGTTTGTCTCCATAATTATTTATTTTCTTCCCTAAAGGACAAAGATTAAGTCATTTTCTATATATATTTTTTTTCTTCAAGTCTATCATGAGGATGTAAACGCTCCCCAGAGACGACACAGAGAAGAACCCAAAGCCAGGCCACTACGAGTAGGAGACACTGAGAACCCATTACCTGAGTGTAAGATCATATCTTATTTCGCTAAAAATAAGACAGAACTGCATTTGTTGGATTTATATTAATGTTTATCTCTTCTCGTTCTCCAGCTTCACCACCCAATTACCGCAAGAGGCCGAATAATGAGAAGGCCACAGATGACTACCACTATGAGAAATTCAAGAAGATGAACCGACGATACTAATCCTCCACCTTCGCTTCACAGCCACCTAGTTGGACACTTTTTTTCCCTGTAAAATGAGAGATGTAAATATTTGACATGCAGTCGTAAACATTTTACAATAAAACTCCCCCCAAAACATTGGTCATCTTTGCAAACTTTATAAAATAGAAGAACATTTTGTTTTCATAATAATGTACTGTGCACCATGTTAATGCATTATATAATGTGTGTTTCAGTCTGTTCAACAGAATTGATTTATCACTTTATATTAATGAAACGTCATTGTTTTATTAAAGGTTATTTTTATTCTACAGACTTTGCTAATGAAATAAAGTAATATTATAACCTCTATTAGAGTTACAACATTTCCTTTCCTCTTAGTTTTTGCTTGGGTGTATTTTAATTACCTAAAATGGAAAGATTGTCCTACGGTAGCACAGCAATAAAAATATATACATGTAAATGAATAAAAAAAAAAAAGAGAACAGTTCCTTGGCAGTCACATTTTGAAGAGCATTACAGTGTACATATACTATGAAACATACAATGAAATTTAACAGCTTATTTTGTTACTTAAATAGAGGAGCTAGATTTACTCAAATGTAGGCAGCATGTTTACAGAGAAGTCTCCTTTTCTTTTAGCATCCAAAACACCACTTGCTTAAAGTTGTTAAATTACTCAACTTGTATTTTTTGCAGAACAACAATGAAAGTATAGCATAGTTGTAATTTTACCCAAAGAGACATTAAATTTAGCCAATAAACAGACACAAAGACAAACACTTCTTTATTCCAATGTAGCAAGTTACCCAACTACGAATTAGAAATACTATTCATTGAAATGTTCTCAGCATTAATTCAGTGTCATTTTTGCTGGACAAAATCACATCATCAATTCAAGTAGTTGACTAGATTTGCAGTCTGCAGCTGGAGGTTTAAGATGGGGCTTTTTATAATGGCAAATTGCTTAAATGTGTAATCTAACTGGTCCATGAAGGAAGCCACTGGTATTTCATGACTGCTCACTAGTGCTGCTGCCGTGGCTGTTTAGGTGACGCTGCATGGACTCCTGGGTCCCCAAGTGGTCTGAATCCTCTGGGTTGGCACACGAGGGGTCAGAGGTCATCTCAGGGGACCCCCAACTGTCCTGCCGATGAAAGGTCTCACAAAGTGGCAACTCAACACCATCCCACTGTCCACAGCTAGAAATGTTATACACACACACACGTTACACACAAACTAACATTTATTCTGTCCACTTCTGCCTAAAAACACCCAATAATCCATTAGGAGTATGTATGAATAATGTTAAAACATTCATTCAGTCATTACAAAACAAACTCACACAACAGAAGGCACTGGGAAAGAAAGCACAAGCAGGGAAAGGAAGTTGTGAAAAGTATTGCTACTGACATGTCTGGAACTGTGTGGTCACATGGCATTACTCTTCTGTTTGCTGTCTTTCTATACACTGAACAGATAAGTGTAGGGTCTAATAATAAAACTGCTCAACAGATGAAAAGCAAAAGGCTGTAAGCAGCAGAGAATTTAGATTATGCACTCAGCAGAGGCAGAAGATAAATTCCAAATCAGAGGTGAGCAAATAATAGATCAGACACTAAATGTACTCTATTTTATCTCTGGTTTATTTATGAAATTTGAAATTACCAGTTGGTTTGTGAAAAAAACTGACAAATATTCTGACACATTTTGAACAGGTACTAATGTGACCAACACTGTTTCTACTTAAAATGTCACCACAAAGAAATACAGTGTAGTGCAATTTCAAACACTCCATAAATGATAAATATTACATTTTGAACATGACACATATGCCACTGAAAGCTAAATATTTTCCCAGTTTACACAAACTTTGATTAGTTTAACAGAGAGAGAAAAAAAATCACTGCATTTATATTGAATATTGAATATATAGTGAAAATCTTCTTGAATGATTTCTTCTTCTTGAAAATTCTTGATTTGATTTTCTGTTTCTTGAATGATTTTCTTCCACTAAGCTAATTAATATGATACTTTAAAGTAATTTTTACAATACATACAGCACCCTACATTCTTTTTTTACAAATTCTAAAGTGCTTTGAATTTTGCAGCTCATCATTGAGTACAGGCATCAAAATTAATGTGCTCAGTCCAATATCAAATTTAGATTCACATGTACATTTTTCTTCAAAAATGTAGAAAATTATTTCAAGAATTATTTCCAAAATGTCTCTTCTCATATAACTATTAATGTTTATTCTGGTGTGCTTCAAAGACAGCTTGAATTGATTTAAAATCTCTGAATATCATACTAATCTCTATAAAAATTCAACCCAAACAGCACCAATAAGAATAAATACACATCCTGATTGCAAGTAAATCTTCTAAAACATAATAATTTAAAGGGGTCATATGATGCGATTTCAAGTTTTCCTTTCTCTTTGGAGTGTTACAAGCTGATTGTGCATAGATAAGATCCCTGAAGTTGCAAAGACTAAAGTCTCAAAACCAAAGATATATTCTTTATCAAAGTTAAGACTCTGCCACGCCCCCCTAAAACGGCTCGTTCTAACACGCCCCCACATATCTACCTCACTATGTGGAAACATTTGAAGGAGGGGGCTTTGTAGAAAACGAAGCGTTTGAGAGAGGCGGGGCATAGAGGACCTACAATAATGTACAGTATTTGAAAAATAATGTGTTTTTTAAACATTAAAGCATGTCAACATATTCTGTTACACCAAATACACAAAATAATGATCTTTAAAAAAGCATCATATGACCCCTTTAAGGCACCTGGAGGGGAAATATTTACATGCACTTTTGTATAACAGATGGGTTTTCTTGTGCAAGATCAGTTATACTGAAAGTGCTTGATAATGTCTTTGGTGTGACTACAATATGAATTGATATGACAATATGGATGGATATATGGATGTTTGCTATATTAGAAGCATAGCAGAAAAATATATGTTTGGCTTGTTATAATTATGACAAGCTGAAAAAAACACAAGGGCCATACAGTTTCTAAATTGTCTTACTATGTGACTGAACTGGGTCAAAGAAGAATGTACTCTTGTATTAGTTATTGTCTTACCTGCAAGAATGAACACTCTTATTAAGGCACAATGGTATGATATGACTGTGTATGAAGGACCAAAATGGCATGGTTTAATTCAAACAAATAGCAAACCAACATGGTTAGCACATGATATTTTAGTAAAATGAAAACCGGTCAGAGCCTATAATTGGTTGTGCAAGTTAAAAATACCTTTAGCTCCATAAATCACCCTGTGTTATGTTCTTATGATGCACATATGCATCACATTTATGGTGTTGGTAAGCAAGGGAAGGCAGAGGTGACTGCACACGTTTGGGATCACTGGTCTATTTGTACCTGGAGGAGTAATACTCTTCCTCGAGCTCATACAGGTCGATGGCAATCTCATCACGCAGGGAGATGAGCTTCTTGTCGCACTCTTCCTGCAGCGTGCGCAGCTGCTGGTTGCGGAGACTGATGGCCTCGTTGACAGAGGGGAAGTCATTCAGGATGAGGAACTGCTTAAGGTCTGAGACAAGCTTCATGAGAGACTCTCCTGCACGTACCTAAGACACATTAAACATGGAAATGTCATCCAAGTCTAATATGTCTATTAATTATCGTACTACCACTGTAGATCTTACTATGTTGGCAGCTCGCACGTGCATTTCATAGTGATCCTGCTCAGCTTGTGTCGCCCTGGAAACCTGAGTCTCATCTTCCACCTGATAGATGAGATGACCAGATCATTGTCCTTGTAAAATGATATTGATAATAAATGTCACATAGTCATAGCAAAATGCACACCAACATACCTTTGCCGTTTTGATTATTTCGGTGAAATTGTCTAGAATTGACCTGATGTCATCTTTAAGTCTCTTATTGTAGTTCTGCAGAAGAGTTTCTTTGCTTTGTGGGAGTACTCTCTGTGTGGCCATCACAGCGCTCTTCAGTCACACTTGACAGTGCTAAAGGATCAGAAACAAGACTTTACTGTTAGAACTGCAATTAGTTTTCACATTAACTGCTACTAAATACATATAATAAACAGCCATTGATACATTTCCGACCCCTAACTGCAGCCACAGCCTTTTTTTTTTT